TTGATTTTTAAAAATTTCTCTTTCGTTCTGTAGCTGTAGGGGGGGGGGGGGCGGTGCCCCCCCCCCCCCCCCTGCCCCTACCTGGCTACGCCCTTGCTTATCTGGTTGGCTACTATCGCAGGGAGCATCCAAACTGAAATTTTCTTTAGGCAGAAAGTCTACCTGGACACGTCAGAAGGCCTCTTCTAGAATACAAGGACGTGATACAAACGCACCTACAAAAGGCTTTGGATGCGACGTTTCTACCCGTCAGTGACTCTCACCCCATGAATGACGTTGTTGAAGCCCAATCACCAGCAGTCGTCTGAACTCGTACTTATCCCGACTCGATCCGACATACAAAATACATATGCGGCCTGTAACGGCATCCGCTGCAACACCAACCACCACTCACCTGACCACTTAAATCCACTTAGCTAACACTCCTGACCCAAACTTGTTGAAACATTACGTTTGCTGGGCCAACCGTTTGTTGAGTTTGACGACAACGATAAAGGGGCTAACCGATTTAAGCGGGGATTAATAGTACCGTTACAACAAAAACAGCTCAATATACTAGAATATTAAAATTAGGCTACTTCAATTGAGTCCAGAATACGCGAATGACCAACTCTACGTTACCTCCATATGTGTGTTGGATTCAATCTGCAGCTGCCCTGCAGCATGTCATACATAATGTGACCAACTATTTCATAGCTCAAAGAAGTACAGGTTAGGTTGGGTTAAGTTAACGCCGGTCCTTGAGAGCTCAGCATTTGTTCACAAATGCGAGCCAAAAGGTTTCCACCTAAGCCTCGCGAAGGTTGGACAGTCTAAAAGAAAGTGTGAAGATGATTCCTCTTCAACTTCCCCTTGACAGCTTATACAAAAGGATCAGTTGAAATTTCTAGTCTCACCGCATGAATACCAATCGCACCTTTTGTACCCTTTCCTCAATGTTAGGCTTCCGCCGACGTTGATCGTCCACCTAGTTACCCGGTTCAGGTAACCTTGAGCTAGATCAAAAAGGGTGTATAGAAATCGTTCCTTAACCAAAAGTTCCACACCATCTACATAGGCGATCACCCGACAGCCCACTTTTCTAGTTCCTCTAGAAGGTCGTTTGCAACCGCAATCGAGGGCAGGGAAGAGAGAACACCACCTTGTGGAGTGCTCCCATTGACTCCCCCACTCCGCCGCGGCAGTTCTGTCACGAAGTAAGCTTATTAGGTTGGTCTCAATCCCTAGATTATTAATATACTTGACTATTGCCTCTGGAGTGACATTGTTGAAGGCCCTCTCGATATCGAAGAGGCTCCTACTGCATAATCTTTATGCGTGAAAGCTTCCTCTGACGACTTTACCAATGTGTGCAGGGCGGTATTCACCGACCTTTTCTTGCAATAAGCATATTGAGCTCTCGAAAGACAGTGACTGATAGGAGAAACATGATAACCATTTCCAGCCTTCGGGATGAACGCAACACTGACTACGCTCCAATGCTTGGGGATGTACCCGGTCCTCATGCGCGGATCCAACCAATTGCACGACACCTTCAGACCTTTCCAGCTGCGCAGATATAATGCCATCGGTCCCGGCGACTTTAATGGTTTAAACGAATTTATCGCCCAGACCATGTGACGAATGTCCAGAAGAACGGAATAGAATAGTACCTGGGGGGAGATTTTGTAACCAGTTAGCGACAATTTTCGAATCGCTATCGCACTTTTTAACACAAAAGCATTTATATCATGCGTCAAAAAGTGCGATAGCGATCCGAAATTTGTCGCTAACTGGTTACAGAATCTCCCTCCCGAAGTACGAAATATCGTAAAGAAGTATATTTGACTGTACTTCGAAGTACGAAGTACAAGAGGGAAAAAAGAAGTACTGTACTTCCGAAAGAAGTACGGTTGGTTACATTAGCCATACATATGTCCGGACTCTGTGAGTGCCATGTATGGTAAGACTCAAGGAAGGGGTGCCTCTTGGGTGATAAAGTAGTTAGCTTGTTTCTGCTTGGGACTTTCTAAGCAGTGACCGCAGATTGACTGAAAATAATTCCTTCACCATTTTGCAATGCAGAGTAATTTTTCTATTAGCCGCCTAAGATTGTTGTCTTGCCTCTTTCATTCTGAATTCTTGCTCAAATATGTACCTCTCATAAGGCTTTACATATATATGTATTTATAAATAATACATACATAAAATAATGCTGGGAAATACTTACCTTTAAAAAGCGGCGCAATGCGAAATCCTGAGATAAATCCAGTGCTCGAGAAATGATTGCATCACAAACAAAGGAACAATGAAGATGAATAAAAATATTATATAAGGCACAACAGACGCACCTAAAAGGGAGGTCGTTGAAAAAAATTTAAATTAGTCTCTTTTCGAAACCATGAAATACATATATAATTAATAGTTCAGGACTAGTGTATGACCATCACGAGGCCTATTAAGGACAATATTTCAGGATCTGTTCAGGGCATCATTTCGGGACTAGTTTACGATTATTTGAGGACTATTTTAGGCCTAGCTTTGTGCCATTTCGGGGCTTGTTAGGAATATTTTTGGACTAGTTCAGGTTCATTTTTTGTCAATTTTCGGACTAGTTCGGATTATTCCGGACTATTTCAGGCACATTTCGTAGCTATTCAGGCCCATTGCGTAGCTATTTCAGGACCGTTTCGCGACTACTGGAAGATTTGAGTCTAGTTATGGACTATTTCCGCTTTATTTCAGGACAGTTCAGGAACATTTCGGGACTAGTTCGGGATCATTTTGGGTCTAGTATGGGACCGTTTCAGGACATGGTCAAGGTTATTTCGGAACAAGTGCAGGATAATTTCGGTGTAGTTCGAAACTAGTCCCGATGTGGTTATGTAAAAGTTGCGTACTGGTTCCAACAAAATTAATCAAATGAAATTAAATTACTGCTTATTTTCTAACCTAACTTATTTATGTATGTATGTATGTATGTAACTAAATTGTCTAATTTTACATATTAAATTTCATGAGAACTTTATGCTTACGGCTTTTTTAAATGAATGTATTAGTTTTGATATACTAGTTAAAATTTAGAAATATCTCTTTAGAAAAGAAACCAATTTAATTTTTTTCCTTTTGGCAGCAATTTCTATAATTGTAATAACAGGGCAAAGGTAATTGAAAAACTTTGGTAAGATAATTGAAAGAGCCGGCAAGATGATTTGAAAGATTTTGATTGCTCTGAAAGGAAAGTCTTACAAAAAAATCGCTCTTGCCAACTTTCATGGTGAAAAGCTCCTTTACGGAAATCATTTTGCTGAGTGAGCAAGGCATTGCCATTCGAGAAGTTCGAGGTTCAAATGCTCAGCCTGCAGAATTTTTATTATTTAATTTTTTTTTTTAATTAAGTTTCTTTTAATTTTGACACTTTATGATTTTGATTCAATTTCATACATTTTCTATAAACTCATTTTACATATTCTTTAGTTTTATGAAATTTATTTAATTTTTGTAATTTAATTTTCTTTTAATTTTAAGATTTTATTTTATATTATTTAATCTCAAGAACCTTATTGCATATTTTTCATTTTTAATTTAAGTTAATTTTATTATTTTTTAGGTTTTAATTTAACATTTTTTGATTTTATTGTTTTTTAGGAACTTATTTTTTAAATTTTTATTTACTTAATTTTTAGATTTTATTGTTAAAAATGTATAATTTTTTTTTATTTCATTTATTTTAGAAATATTTTTATTCTTTTTTATTCAACAATTTTTCCGTGCTTGAGGCCGTTTTGTATGAAAAAATGTGGAAAAATTATTTATTTTCTCTTGATTTAGTTTTCTTTTCATTTTTAATTTTATTGTTTTAAAAAGAAAAATATGTTTTAATGTCTTTTGTCTTTCGAATAACGGTGGTGAGTTCAACGACAGTTGCCAGAATTGCTCTTGCCGAGATCTTTTTTTACATAGATAAATCTGGGTAATATTCATACATAGCAATCGATGAGAAATTCCTGAAATTATAAAAATTTGTATAAAGCGATCTAATTTATTTGTTGGATTTTAAAATGGAAACAATTTGTTTTTCGCTAAAAACTCATTATTCATTCATTATCTCATATTGGCGTGTACCTAGTGTACGTACATATGTATTTATGTATTTGCGTATGTGTGCAAGAAAAAGCTCGGTTTCAAATTAATTGATAACTGAACTGGTAGGCGATTTATAATTATACATGTACATTAGAGTGGTCCAAAAATACATAGGAAAATCCGCTTTTTTGAGTTTTCCTGCTGCCACCCCAAGAAGTGAAGAGCATCAAAAATAAGGAGACACGTATTTTTTATTTTGCAATCGGTTAACATTTATCAGCCGTTCAAACGATTTGAAAGTTGAACAAGTAACAACAAAATATATCGTGGCGAAGAAATATTAAGTTTTGTAAGTATTTATTTTTGTTAATTTGCTTGTGTATTTGCATATAATTTGGCAGATCGGCAAATGATAAAAAAACCGCTACGTAAACAAAAAATAGCGTGCACGGTGTATTTGACAGTGTTGCCAGTTTTTACCCGAAAAGAGTTACCGCACTTTTTGGTTCTTCTCTCTTTCTCTGAGAGCAATTTTGCTTTTTGATAGTTTTACAAGCTTTATCCACAAAAGTTTAGGAACGAAACTAATGTGTTAGCAGCCAACATGCATATCAATCTCTACTTACAACCCGCATATGAAAATATCACCCATGCTATGGAGAAAACATCTAAGCGGAAAGCTAAGCTGATGCCGGCAAATATGAAGTCGCTTGGCTTAGCCCAATAGCCGCGTGTCAAATCAGGTTTATAGGGCAGACGGCCACTATCGTATGAAGTTTCGTAAATCATTTTAAAAGCAAATAGCGATCACAGCTTTGTAGAAGTAAACATAAAAAGCACACACACACGCAACTAAAATTTTACGTGCAGCACAGTGTAAATAAATTTGCTATAATTTCATTTTTTTTTTCTGTATTCGCCGGCTATATGTAATTAACTAAGGTTTTTACAAAGTGATCGCAGTGATATGTATGGCTCGCAACGAAACACCTTCACATTGAATTTTTGAATACACCGATTTTTAAGCTACAATTAAAACGGTGTCCCACACACGCTGAGCAGTGATAGTCGACTGATCGAATCGCTGCTGCTTGGTTTTGTAAACTGCATACACGTATGTATGTATGTATGTAGTATATGTACAAACATACATACATGCATATGTATGAATGTATCTGCATATATGAAAATAATCAGCAATTCTGAAATACACAGAAATAATGCCCAGAGTACCTATAATGAGAAATGCAAATTTAATTTATTTTCTTTTTTCAATGGATTCACTCCATCGAAAATGTTTACATCTGAATGAAGGGGTGTAATAGAAAATTGCTAAATAGTTGGTTTTGGTACTCTAATTTTATAAATTATGCCGTTAACAAGAGTCTATCTGTGTATGTATGTATGTATGCATTTTTGTTTATTTCAAATCTCTCTAAAATACATAGGAACGGAGAATATCTCTTATTTTGGTGTTTGCTATAATTAACGTTCGATATCAGTAATGTAAAATTTTTCTCTGCTATTAACATTTACACTTAAACAGCTGTAAACTTACAGTTCACACAGTGTTTAAATCACAGAGAACTGTTAGTTCGGACAAACTCTATTGTTTTGCCTGATTAAAAACTAAACTAATATAATTATATTAAATTAAATTAAATAAAATTAAATAAAGTAAAACAAAATAAAATAAAATAAACCAAAAAACAAAACAGAATAAAACAAAATAAAATAAAATAAAATAAAATAAAATACAATAAAATAAAATAAAATAAAATAAAATAAAGAATAAAATAAAATAAAATAAAATAAAATA